GTCTGAGAATTCGCGGCGAATCGTCCAGCGCCGGAGATCCCCGCGATTTGACCGTCTTGATGCGATTTTGCTTTATTTGCGGGTAGTTGAGGGGCAGACATCGCCTGTTTACGGCCGTTCCGAATTTTGTGGTGAAATTGTGCCGCTGTTTCGTTAGTTATTAGTGGCGGCCTGGCGGCAGAATTGGGTTTGGGACGCACGGTAGAAGAACGACAAGGCTTACGCGCTTTTCGTGGCTCAACTTTTGCCACGTACTTGCGATTTTGGTATTCCCTCGTATGAAGTTTGAGAGGTTACTCCTTTTTTTTGAGCTCTAGTGTCGTATGGCCTCGGATTCGACAAGAAATTGGTGAACATATTAGTCTTCTGTTATCCTTTTTGAAAATTACTTTTCTGTTATCCTACAGGTGTGGTTTGATGTGTTTTTCATTTGGGTTTGTTCGAAAGAACCAGAGATCGATTGTCTGTTTGGTCTCTCTATATAGTAGTTTGAAATTAGAAGTTCATCGATCCAAATCTCACAGCAATTGATGGGTGCAGAGTATACCTTGTGTGATCTAGCGTGAGTTCTCTACAGAAATACTAGTATAATAATCTCCACATCCCAATGGCAACATTGTATCTAGAAAGAAGAACATCCCAACATCAACGCCATTTTCGATGGGGATGCCCGGTCTTAACTCTTAACTAAATTTAATTGAGAAATTAGGGTTGCTGGTGTGTGGTCCTGCTGCTTTACTGAGGGGAAGGCTCACTGGCCTATGACTTTGTTCTGCACGGCAGCTGGGGGTTGGTTTGGTTGTGTCTTTGCATGTTCTGGAGGTCCAAAATTGTGTAATGGACCGAGTAAGTATGCGATGGTCCTTGCCACCTTGGTTCTTAGCACAACAATTGGGTTGTTGATGCTTCCGGTACTGGATTAGTGGATCAGATTTCTGAACGGGTATCACCTTTCAGGATGATGCATGTGTCCTTTAAATGTGTACCGGTTTGGCAATTATTTTGTCATTGTGCGTGTGAATTCCGGTTTGAACCAGCTATTTGTGACATGGCGACAGGTTGAATCATTTGTTTTGCCGCTTTGACACACGATCTCACTTTGAATTGCATTTTAGCATTTGAAAAAGTTCTGAAACGAGGGCCCCACGCATCGTTGTGATGTGGCGTTCTTTACTCGACACATTGCAGGCCAACCTGGGCGTGTATTCTGCAAATACGTGCCTGACGCGGCAGATGCTAGCCGATGACGTGGCAAAACGAAGTTTATATTAGCAGAGACCGGCTGTGGGTACAATAGAATCTTGCGAGGAGCGGAACTGAGATCGACGGAAGGTGGCTGGAAACAAGTTGAAGCCACGAGTTGATGCCCTGCTAGGTCGGACGTAAACCTCCGGTCAGCGTGTGCCACTTAAGCATATATTTGCAATATACATGTCCTAGTTGGCCTGCGATGTGTCAAGCAGTAAGTTTCACGTCACCCGAACGATTGGGGCCATCATGTCAGAACCACTTGAAGAGCTGAAATGTGGTATAAATATGTGCAAAATCTGGTTTAGAATGGCACATACCATCAAATAGAATAAAATGTAGTTCAACCTGCACTTTGTTACAAATAATTAGCTTCAAATAGATTTTATTCTCAGTGTATTGTAACGTACAAGGTAGAAGAAATCAGTTTTGTCAAGGCCTCAAGGGACAGTGGTTTTTTTAATTGTTACTTCTACAAAGGTTTATTTTGTTGTACTTTTCCTAGAGTTGTCCTATTCTTTTCCTTGGCTAAATTTTCTTTTTTCACAAATGAAATACCAAATAACATGTGAGGAGTACTGTGGTGATGCTGCTAAGCCCTGGGTGAAGGGATGGGCAAGATGACAAAAGTCCTAATTTAGCTAGTACTCCCTCCGTTCCGAATTACTTGTCTTGGATTTGTCTAGATACGGATGTATCTAGACTCATTTTAGTGCTAGATACCTCCGTATCTAGAAAAATCTAAGACAAGTAATTCGGAACGGAGGGAGTAGCATAAAGTAGCACCAACTGTAACTTCAGTTAGTCTGATGAGCAGTGACGATCCAAGATGACTCATGTCTTGCCACAATGCCACATATTTCTGTAGTAAGAGTTTTTTTTTTTCTGAATGAGTACATGCACAAATTCATCGGGTTGCTTGTGTATAGCTTAGTTGATCATTCAAACATGCATGTCCTTGCAGCATTTTAGTATCGGCATCCAAGGTGAAATGAGGGAATATGGTTTATGCGATGTGCCAGTATCCAAGGATTCTCATTGTGGGTGTTTTAGTGCCGACCCTGACTATAGTCGCTGGACTAGCTCTGCTTTGATGTCTCAATCCTGTTGTCGGCATCTGAAAAGCTACTTAATAAAATGAGTCACTATCATGCAGTTGTTAGCATAAGTTGGTAGTGGTTCTTGGTTGGTAAACACCAAGCAAATGGTCAAACCTGCCTTAACCTTCAATGCCAACGAGAAACCATTTTCTGTCAGTGGAAGAATCCAGAAGCCAAAATATTTTTATGTAGTGTCATGTTGCTGAGAAGAAGCACATGGGCAAATAGCACTTGCAGTAATAATAGACACCTTCTCAACCCTTGGTTTAACAGATTGTGATTGCGGTAATTTTGTTATTTCAGTTAAACTACTAAGTGGTACATCTATATAGCAGAGCACCTCATAGTGTCCCGATGCTTGTGAAAATATGTGATAGCCTGTCAAGATTTTATGTGATGTGATTTAGCTCGTGAAAATTTGTCTCCTTTCTGTCCCACAACTATTTTAGAGGAAACTATGTGATGGCCTTTACTTCATCACTTTATTGTTGAGGTTTTTGCACGGGTTTTTCAAACTAGTTGGCGTAACCTTGATGCAAGTAGGTTGTCGGTCATAATTCCACATGATTTTCCTTTTTCTGATAAAGAGGTCACCAACTGATAGCCGAGAATTTCTAGCCAGTGAGCTGATTGAATAATAAGGTAGTGAGCTGATTGAATAATAAATGGGTAAGAACTAACACTGCGCCACCTATTGGAATTGGACATATCGTGTAGGTTGCCATATCACATCTTTTTTCGCGGGAATCGCAGCTACAACTACTAGGTCTCACAGTTTCATTCTAAATTATGAAAAAGGAAATTTCCTGGCATGGTATTAGGATATATAGCCGAATGTGTGGTTATGTGCAGTGTCAAATACTCCCTCTGTAAACAAATACCATAAGACATTTTAGATCACTAAAGTAGTGACCTAAAACGTCTTATATTTGTTTACAGAGGGAGTACTTTGTTCTTCAACTGGACTATGGACTATTGTTTACTATGCTTCCGTCGAAACAAGTTTGATACGCAGCTAGGAAGTACAAACAAAAACAAGTAGCTCCATCTGAAAATACTGATCTTTTATTTGTTTGCCTTGTTTCCTGCAGATTTAAGCCGTATCCACTCAGGATGGCCGTGCTCACGACGATCTACGGGTTTGGACTTTACAAGTGGTGGACGTACGTATCTCACTAACGAGACAGACCCATGACCTCCTCCCCTGTCTCACTCTCATGATACGAAAGATTTCGAGAGTAGTACCATCACATCGATCAAATTGCTTTGCCTTGCTTCATGATCAGACAATTAGTACATCGGGGGATCATACGAGAACGTCCGGAGGGGAAATGAACACCCGGCCGCAAGTTCATCTCTGTAGCTAATGGGTTTTTGTAATGTGCAAATGTCATTCTTAGATCAAAAGGAGCACTGTTACTTCGTTTTTCTTCTTGTTGTACAGTATATATGCGTCGTCTCTGATTGCTGTTGATGTTGTTGTGGTCGAGATAGGAGCATGCCATGGTTATGTCTCAGGTGATTTGCATGGTTCGCGTGACTGCCGCCCTTTCTCCATGGAACCGTGTTCGGCGTGCATGTTTGCTTGATCCGGGGATGCACAAAACTTGCCGGGTGAAAGTATATCGGCGGCCGTTATTATTGTTGTACTGTCATGATTGAAAATGAATATATCAAAAAATTTCTCGTAAAAAAGGAAGCATACGGCAAATTTAGATGTAATGTTATTATTTTTTATGTCCGTTATACTGTCACGATTGAAAATCATACCGGCGGCCGGCTGACGCCGGCACGGGCATGGGGCGGCAACGGCTCGACCCGCGGCGTGGATGGTGTGAGCCGTGAGCGTACAACGGTGAGGCGAGCGGAGGTTTCCGTCCAGCAACGGTTCACTCTGTCGGGGTTCAGGCGACTCGGGGTTTGGCATTGCAGTGATGTCTCTAGCGGACTATACCCGCGCACACGAGCCACGCGCGGGGCTGTTAACCGAGGAACCGGTGGAAACCTCTTGTTGGATTCGACCGGGCGCATATGCTGGGGGTAAAATTAACAAATTTAACCTATGAACGAAATCAAATCACAGAATGAACTGTCCGTGAAACTATATCACGCGACTGACCTTCGTGTGTGACGTCTGACACGAAAGCGTCACACTACACTGTGCAACGCCTCGCAGATAGGCGCTACACGCCTGGCCAGCGTCGCACCTATGTGATCCGAAAGTTACTAAGTCAGTGTGCAGCGCCTGAGAGCTAGGCGCCACACTATACAGTGTAGCGCCTAGCTTCTAGGCGTTGCACTAGTGGTTGCTTCATTTTGTAGTGCAACCACTAGTGCAGCGCCTGAGAGCTAGACGCCACACTATACAGTGCAGCGCCTAGCTCGTAGGCTCTGCACAATGACTTAACAATTTTTAGGCAGTTTGAGGTGCAACGTTGACCAGGCGTGTAGCGCCTATCTGTGAGGCGTTGCACAATGTAGTGTGACGCCTTCGTATCGGGCGTCACACAAAAATGTCAGCCGCGTGAAATAGTTTCACGAGTAGTTCATTCTGTGATTTGATTTCATCCACAGGTTAAATTTGTCAAATTTGCCATATGCCGGGGTGGAAGAACCGGATAAAGCAGGAGGGTATTCCGACCCATGAAATGCCCAGCCAGAAGAAAATCAACTAGTACTACATTCATATGCATCACGTTGGCTAGCTTAGGACAGAAAGTAAGAAACGGCCGGTACTTGTCACTAGACACTGCCGACATGGAGAGCCAAAAGTCCTTTTTGCTCGCCAGCTCAAATGAACTCGCGATGAAAAGTAAAAAAGAATCAAAAAGAAAATCTGAAACTTTCTTTTTGTAAACTTCGAGTGTTTGCAAAACTTCATCGTGTAATGATATTCACGAAAGTCATGGCAAAAAGAAAAAAAAACCAGGACTCCAAAATGCTTTTAAAATAGTAGTTTTAAAGCGAGTGCGGCGTTTCAGCACCCGGGCTCATAAATAAAAAAAATCCAAACTTTTTTCCAAGCAAGATGCTTGTGTGTGCGATGTTCATGAAAAAATTGGTGGAGTTTGAGCATTCGAGAAGCGCACGACAAAAAAGACAAAATCTGGCTCTGTGAATAAGGTTACTGTTCACGCAATATTCTAGCCGAATTTCTCTTTTTTGCCACAAGCTCAACAACTGTCCAAACAGGATGAAATCTTGCACAGACATCATGCACACAAACATCTTCCCAGCAAAAAAATAATAATCATTTTTTTCTATTTTTTCTATTTTTAATAGCTGTACTATTTACCGGGCTCATCTGAACCCGAGCAGCAGAGTGGATTACCGCTTTAAAGCATCTAATCTAACTAGTTTAACCTCCCAGGAAATCAAGCCTCCTGGTGCATTGTGTGTGAAAGGGCCCAGTGGGTCCATGTTGTCAGTGGATGACCCATGTGGGCCGGAACGCTTGGCCCAACTTGCCCAGGACAACACGTAACATGATGTCCCCCAACTTCCTCAGGCACGTTCTGCTCAAACAAAACTTGCCCACGCTAGTCCTCTCGCGCTCCTGACACTGTTCTTCCCCTCTCCTAAATCGTCGGCTCCCGCCTGCAATTCCGCCGGCCTCCCCGTCTAATATCCACCACCAGTCGGCCCGCATCGCTCTCCTCTAGCAATTCCCCCACCGTCGCCTCGACCATCCGTGATCCACCTACTCACGCGTCCCCATGATGGTGTTGGGGAACGTAGTAATTTCAAAAATTTCCTACGCACACGCAAGATCATGGTGATGCATAGCAACGAGAGGGGAGAGTGTTGTCTACGTATCCTTGTAGACCGAAAGCGGAAGCGTTAGCACAACGCGGTTGATGTAGTCGTACGTCTTCACGATCCGACCGATCAAGTACGGAACGTACGGCACCTCCGAGTTCAGCACACGTTCAGCCCGATGACGTCCCTCGAACTCCGATCCAGCCGAGTGTTGAGGAAGAGTTTCGTCAGCACGACGGTGTGATGACGATGTTGATGTTCTACCGATGCAGGGCTTCGCCTAAGCACCGCTACAGTAATATCGAGGTGGACTATGGTGGAGGGGGGCACCGCACACGGCTAAAGGATCAAACGATCAATTGTTGTGTCTATGGGGTGCCCCTGCCCCCGTATATAAAGGAGCAAGGGGGGGGGTGCGGCCGGCCAGGGAGAGGGCACGCCATGAGGAGTCCTACTCCCACCGGGAGTAGGACTCCCCCCCTTCCTAGTTGGAATAGGATCCGGGAGAAGGAAAGAGAGAGGGGAAGAAGGAAAGAGGGGGCCGGCCCCCCTTGCCCTAAACCAATTCGGTTTGGGCCTTGGGGGGCGCACCCCACACTCCCCTTGCTTCCCTCTATTTCCACTAAGGCCCATATAGGCCCATTAAGCTCCTGGGGGTTCCGGTAACCTCCCGGCACTCCGGTAAAATCCCGATTTCACCCGGAACACTACCGACATCCAAACATAGGCTTCCAATATATCAATCTTCATGTCTCGACCATTTCGAGACTCCTCGTCATGTCCTTGATCACATCCAGGACTCCAAACAACCTTCGGTACATCAAAACATATAAACTCATAATATAACTGTCATCGTAACGTTAAGCGTGCGGACCCTACGGGTTCGAGAACTATGTAGACATGACCGAGACACGTCTCCGGTCAATAACCAATAGCGGAACCTGGATGCTCATATTGGCTCCCACATATTCTATGAAGATCTTTATCGGTCAAACCGCATAACAACATACGTTGTTCCCTTTGTCATCGGTATGTTACTTGCCCGAGATTCGATTGTCGGTATCTCAATACCTAGTTCAATCTCATTACCGGCAAGTCTCTTTAATCGTTCCGTAATACATCATCCTGCAACTAACTCATTAGTTGCAATGCTTGCAAGGCTTATAGTGATGTGCATTACCGAGTGGTCCCAGAGATACCTCTCCGACAATCGGAGTGACAAATCCTAATCTCGAAATACACCAACCCAACAAGTACCTTCGGAGACACCTGTAGAGCACCTTTATAATCAGCCAGTTACGTTGTGACGTTTGGTGGCACACAAAGTGTTCCTCCGGTAAACGGGAGTTGCATAATCTCATAGTCATAGGAACATGTATAAGTCATGAAGAAAGCAATAGCAACAAACTAAACGATCAAGTGCTAAGCTAACGGAATGGGTCAAGTCAATCACATCATTCTCCTAATGATGTGATCCCGTTAATCAAATGACAACTCATGTCTATGGTTAGGAAACATAACCATCTTTGATCAACAAGCTAGTCAAGTAGAGGCATACTAGTGACACTCTGTTTGTCTATGTATTCACACATGTATTATGTTTCCGGTTAATAAAATTCGAGCATGAATAATAAACATTTATCATGATATAAGGAAATAAACAATAACTTTATTATTGCCTCTAGGGCATATTTCCTCCAGTCTCCCACTTGCACTAGAGTCAATAATCTAGTTCACATCGCCATGTGATTTAATACCAATAGTTCACATCACCATGTGATTAACACCCATAGTTCACATCGACATGTGACCAACACCCAAAGGGTTTACTAGAGTCAATAATCTAGTTCACATCGCTATGTGATTAATACCCAAAGAGTAGTAAGGTGTGATCATGTTTTGCCTGTGAGAGAAGTTTAGTCAACGGGTCTGCCATATTCAGATTCGTAAGTATTTTGCAAATTTCTATGTCAACAATGCTCTGCACGGAGCTACTCTAGCTAATTGCTCCCACTTTCAATATGTATCCAGATTGAGATTTAGAGTCATCTGGATCAGTGTCAAAACTTGCATCGACGTAACCCTTTACGACAAACCTTTTGTCACCTCCATAATCGAGAAACATATCCTTATTCCACTAAGGATAATTTTGACCGCTGTCTAGTGATATACTCCTAGATCACTATTGTACTCCCTTGCCAAAAAACAGGGCAGGGTATACAATAGGTCTGGTACACAGCATGGCATACTTTATAGAACCTATGGCTGAGGCATAGGGAATGACTTTCATTCTCTCTCTATCTTCTGCCGTGGTCGGGTTTTGAGTCTTACTCAACTTCACACCTTGTAACACATGCAAGAACTCCTTCTTTGACTGTTCCATTTTGAACTACTTCAAAATCTTGTCAAGGTATGTACTC